TCAAAAAAAGCAATACTCCCTGCTTTCTTAGGCAAAGAGCTGAAAAATTCTTTGAGGATAAATTTGTCAGCACCAAGCTCACTTTTATTGAAGTGTTGCTTTGAACTGGAGTGCCATGAACATTGTTCTGTACAACCCAAACAACCAGATGAGCTATGGGCCAGCTCCAGTTAGAAATTAGCATGTACAGACTTTATAGTTCAGGTTAGCAAAATGTAGTAGCTGCTGATGCAGTCATGTTGTATTTTAATGGCACTGATGTGCACCTTGTTCACCTATTGTGGTAAAGTAATCTCCCAATGATACTTACGTAGATACTGAAACATAATTCCTCTATGGGCTCTGCTAGTCTCGTTCTTGGCATCATGATGGAGATTCTCAGATTTTTTCATTCCATGGCATTATGGATTGGGGAAGGCTGAGAACTCTGTGCTGAAGGGGTGAGGGTGCTAACTACACATTTTGTCGTGAAGATAGTCTGCCACTGAAATGCTGCTGTGGAAACCTGGCTAATGTGTGAAGGTCTTCAGGGTGTGAGAACTTTGAAACAAGTCTTGTAATTCATGCTAATAAACACCTAGTATATCATAATTATTAAAATGTGCTTTCTGTGATTGAATAAGCTATAGTACAAAAGAAATGGCTGTAATACCTTCATGTAAAAAATAAAGGGATGTGCCTGTAATGTTTGTGAACAAGTGAGCCATTAATAAACCCCCAGTTCAGTCTTTTAATGTGAGTTCTTATCTTCCCCTCACTGATGTGTTTCTTATCTTCCTGTTTTGATGAGAACCTTCTTGAAGTGTAAGGCATAACCGTAAGGACTGCACTTGTTTTCTTGTGGTTCATTAAACAAAAAACCCCCCCAAACTTCCCTCAGTGCTATTTTTAACATGGTATATGCTTGACATAGATAATATATTGGATAGAAGGAATAGTAACATAAGCAAGTTGAATTACTTTGGTGCAGAGTTTTTAATCTATGAATTAGTTACGCTTCCTGTGCACCTGAGCTAAGCAAGTTTAGTTCCTCCATGGAATCAAAAGTTACACAGCAGAAGGCTGAAAACAGTGTTGATGTATAATGACTCTGAAGTTGGTTATGGTAGTTTGACAAGTCCCTTTGCCAGAAATTGCCATTCCT